AGGAGTATTTGCAGCAATTGGAAGGTTACACATCACGCCCTAGACAAGGACGCAAAATAAATATAACGTAAACTGTATTAAAAAAAATGAATTGGGTACATAATTATCAAAGTTAACCAACACTTAGACAAAGATCAATAATCCCTCCTGATCTTTGTTGCCTTTATTATGGGCTAAAAATAAAACCTTTTTTGCTGCCTTCATTTATGATAAAAAGTGCCTAATTTATTACATAAAATACCTTTCATTATGACAAATAAGTACGAACTTTAAAGGGAGTAGTAAAGGAACCCGGAGTGGTATATTGGAAACCCGAAACGTTTTTCTGGGCGTTATTCACAGTATCCTTAACCTTGAGAAAATCACATGAACTCGTATCCCTGGCGGTATAAGGTAGAGGGATGCGTGTGTGTAGGTGGGGGCAAGTGGAAGTAATAATGCAGTTTTTTTAAATGAACCCTTTATTCTTAAAAGAACAATTTGGCCTCAGCTTACCATCGCGGACTACGTGGTCTTTAACTTGTTGCCACTGCTTCAAGTTCTCAGATTTTGGTGAGAATAAAAATAGAAAATCCGCTAAATAAATTTCAACTGTGTGCAGACGCAAGGGCGACATAAAATGCACGGGGTATTAAACCTCTTCATTATCTGCGGAACTCAGGAAAAACTGAAGTAGAAGGCACAAAATAAGCATATGGCATTATTTTCTTGGATACCAGCACACAGTCTGAAGTCTACGAAATCGGTTAATTTGTGCGCTCTATCCCTATTCGTTACATTTCAAGGAAAGGCAGTAAGGAAACGGGGCCCGCTCACGCAGATTTTGTGATGATAAGGTCCCTATCCATTTTTTTTTTATTTTTAATTTTTTTATCTTTTTTTTGCCCCTGCGGGCCTTGTTTGGTGCCACTGTTAATAACACTATTTCCATTGAGTGCCAGTTCAGAACTTACAGAAGTCTCAATGGTCTCAGTTTCCTCGTAAGAAAGGTTCTTGGTCTCCGGAAGCTTTGTGGGCAGCTCCCCTATTTTCTGCATGTCAAGATTAACCCGGCAGTTGCGACAAATACCTGTTGAGTGAATCGATGGAAAATGCAGGCTTTTGCTGATACGATATAATCACTATTCTGAACAACTACGGTCTTAATTTACACAAGTAAGGGAACCTGTTTTAAAAAACTTAAATGATAGATTTTCCTGCCCTTTCCTATAATTCAACTCTTCAATTCCCTACCCTTTGATATACCTGAAGCCAGATAAAGGTACCCTTTAGGGGCTGAGTCTCCCTGTAACTATCTATAAGCCATCAGGGAATCTGCTTTAAAAAGCTGTAATTTTAGGAGTCCGGTGAAGGCTTCTAAATTTACCCTTTTGCTGCTACAATCACTAATATAAAATGTTAGAATAATGAAAGGAAAAGAAACACGTAAATAAACAAAGGCTATTGAATTTGCGACCGTCACTGCTACTTAATTATTGAAAAAGTCAAAACAAAAAAAAAAGGAAAAGTGCTTACAAAGTGCTTTAATTGAAGTGTCAGATTGGACCGCCATTTTAGAGCTGGTCTGTTTGGTTGAAAAAGATGAAAAATGATGTATACATACCTGAACCAACTGGAATAAAAATTCCCAGTTTCTTCCATATCAAATAACAAGCACTTTTGCCAAGTCCTCTTTCTGCCTTTGCGTCTTTTGGGCTTGTCCGCCGTGCTTCGAGATTGGCGGAGGAACTCAGCACAGATTCGATCCTCGACGCCACCCAATACCAAGGGATGAGCGGTGCCGGGGACAAATCGTTAATTCCGAAAGGTCTAACTCCCAAGAAAAGGATGTAGATACTCTTCCCAAAATAAGTTCGATTTTGGTTTCTACGTCAGTTATTGACAAGGAAGACTTATGACCCGCGATGTCTCTTTTGCAGTTCAGAAATGGAATAACCTCAGTTGATCTGCTCCTATCTCTGGGGTCATAAGAGCAAGAACCGCCGACTAAGGAGCTAAAAGAGCACTTAACGTCCCTGATGACACAAAACTGGCAAAACAAATTCACCCCAACTTCGCTAATTAAATATTTCCTCTTTGCATTTAATTGACTAATTCAATTTACTACGGCTAGTAAACTGCTTCGAGCTTTAGCCAACTCTGTCATTTCTTCAACAAATAATAGAAATGAATCCTCACAATTGAAGAAAATATCAATTTAAAAAAGCATCTATGATTTTTGTCTTTCTGTTCCGATTCTTCTGAAACCAAAGGAAGCGGAAAAAACAAGTATAAAAGTTAAACAGGTTAGCCGAGAGCTAATCAAATTACATCCTGATATTTATCAGGGAAAACATCTTACACTGAAAAGGAAAACTTCCACCTTAACAATGATAAAAAAATAACCTCTCTTTGGCCGATTACCTTTTTTCAATAAAAAAGGACGAAAAGCTCACCTTAAATCTTAAATTTAAACTTTAAATTTAAACCTTAAATCCCTCTAATGACATAGTTAAAAGGAAAATCTGAATTATACCACATAGTGAAAAAAACATTTGAATTAAGGAGGTATTTGCGGGATTTTTCACGTTTGAAAATACAGCACTTTCCTGCGCGTTGTTTGCTATTTATGAACAACAATAAAGATAAGTCATATAGTTTCTGGGAAAGTACGGCACTCACTCTATCAAAATTTGGTGTCATGATCCTTTGAATCATTTTTCCTTGAAGACCAAAAGTCAGTTTAAAATATCAATTTCACACTTGCTTGCGGGACCTTTCGGGATCGTCGCGGGTCAAATTTGTTTTTCTCAGTTTTCTCAGAATTAAAGCGCTCCGGAAGAAAAAGAAATACATTAAATTTCTTCTATTCTTAGTAGCTTTTTATAGTCGGAAAATAAGCGAAATTCATTTTTCAACTCTTGCCACTCAATGGTCGATATTTCCTGACCGTCGCTCTTAAGACACAATCTGCCCACACTACAGGCCCAACATGGAGCAAATAGAAAAGCGGATCGCGGAATTTCGAAAATGGTATCGGAGCACATCTTTGAGACGACGAGGAAGTTTGCTCCAGTTGGATCAGTTGAGCTATGTTCAGATTAAAGATTACCGTGTTCAGAACTGAATAATGTTTAGAGGTGTCAACAATTATGGATTGCCTTCTAGGGTGAGAAGTGATTGTGGTATGGAAAATTTCAAAGTAGCAGAGTTTATGAAATTAAGAGATCCTCGCAGCTAAGAACACTACTGAAACGAGTAGTTGTAAATAGGACCTGAAAAAAATTCAGGCCCGTACGGGATTTGAACCCATGACCTCTGCGATACCGGTGCAGCGCTCTACCAATTGAGCTAACAAGCCAACTGAGAGCTGGTCAATGAATTGGGTCCAAATAAACATCCAAATGAATGAAGATTTTAGATATATGAAAATTCACAAATTTGCACTGCGATGAAAGATGAAATTAAGAGATCCTCGCAGCTAAGAACACTACTGAAACGAGTAGTTGTAAATAGGACCTGAACAAAATTCAGGCCCGTACGGGATTTGAACCCATGACCTCTGCGATACCGGTGCAGCGCTCTACCAATTGAGCTAACAAGCCAACTGGGAGCTGGTCAATGAATTGGGTCCAAACTCACCTCATTGTATTTTAATAAGTCTAACAGTTAAATAATTGTTTGAAAATTCAAAATTCACACTAAGCAGCCTTGATAAAACAACAAGACAAAAATGTGAAAATTTGTGTCGTAAGCAAGCAGACCATTCTTTTAATGATTTCACTCAAAATGAAATTATATTATAACTGAACAATCTGAGAGCAAATGAAGCTCAGCAAGTTGCACATATACCCAAGTGAGACCAATTTATGGTGTACATTTATGTTATTTGTTCACACCGCTATATTCATCTCCCAACTATCTGAATTCAAAATGGCCATGAATTCTTCTCTGAGCTCGCAAAAGCTAGCATATGTGCTGGGCACCTCTAAAGTGTAGCTACAGGTGTGGGCAATAGGCCTTCTCTGTAGACCTTCACTGTTGGTGAATAACATTCTTAACCTGTCAGTGACAAGAACATCAGATGCACTAGTAAATCTCAAAATTTGGTAAGCTTGGCTTCGTCAAGCCTTCTAATGAGTCTCTTCAGTGGGCCAGTGTTTCAGTCTCAGCTGCTGTAGCAGGACTGGCTTCAAATGGGCCAGTAACTTTAACATTACTTGGTGTGATGGAAGAATACAATTGATGTAATGATTTTACATCTGGGAAATAAATCTTAAGGTGAACAAGAATTTTCTGCTAGCAGTCACTCACATATTGGGGTTTTTGCACTATCTCTCTGTGACCAATCTCTCTCATGGTTTCAACTAAATTGTTGTGTGACTTTTCTCTTACAGTCAAATGCTGACAAAAAGTCAAGCATCTCATCATTGTCGCATGCGATACTGTCAGCCAAGCAACCTTCTATTAGACTAGTTTCAGATGGAGAAACATAACGCTTGAAGTAATCTTGTAACATTTCACAGGTAATGCTTCCCTTCCCAAAAAGACAACCAGCAAGAAAGGCTTTGCTTATTTCATGAAGAAAATACTGACTCTTTGTGTATCCCTTTACAAGTATTCTCCCTTCTAAGAAAGATGTTTTTCGTGTTGTCACGAGCGTGGAACAAAGAAACATTCTGAGTCCCCACCAGGAATCGAACCTCAGAGCTTCGGATTCCGCGCTCCGATGCTCTACCACTGAGCCACAGAGACTCTACGGTGAGCGAGGTCTATTACGAAGTTCATATGACACGCTTCCTGCGTACTGCTAGAATCAGCAATGTTGATAGCGTAAGGAAGGTTCGATTCCTCATGGGGGCTCTTTTTTTTTTCTTTATCCCACGCTCGTGACAAGACGAAAAACATCTTTCTTAATTCTCTACCGAGCTCAAAACTTACCACCTCTACTATTTCTACCTATTCTCCCTACTGCTTCCCACTTATTGTGGTCAAAATCATGCCTAATATAAGGGACTCTTTCACTCTCCTCCAACGTGTGTGAACAAGGAGAAAACTTCTCTCAAGACCCCATTTCCCCGTCCAGCTTCTTCATGACCGAGCTGATGTATAATGATGGCATTTAAACTGGACTTCAAAATGGAAGGATCTGAAAAAATCTCAAGCATATCAGCCCTCACAAGTGATCTGTGAATTCTTATGACTTTAGTAGGCACTTCACCATTCTTTGATGGTGAAGTTGGTGGAGATATATCAAAATTAACTACAGCCTCATAACTGTTAACTGAGTGATTGTTCTCCATTTCTGACGAGAAGGACATTGAATCTCCAAAGATAAGTAGTTTCCCTGGGTCTGTGGAGTCAGCTTCACTGTTTTGATGTTGCAGTGACGAGGAACTTATATTAACAGGGGTCTCTAAGAGGTCACCAGTGCACTGACTAAAGGATGGTATCATAAGCTGTTCATCATCTTTATTCCTATCTTCCTCTTCAAAGGGCTCTCATCTGAAGTGCACACTCCCTTGACCTGAAAGCTTTATCATTATTTCACCAGGTATTCAAACATAATATCCTCTCTTGGAAGTTGACTTTCAATGTTCTTTGTAAGTCTAGGTAAGTCCAGTCTTTATTGAAAGGAAACTGGTGGATAATCAGGCCCCTCTGTTCGAGCTTCACTTTGTTGACGTGGCTTGGTACTTGCTTTGTATTAGGGTTTGAAATTATTACCAAGTCCTTGTCGAAGTTTCTTTCACTGGGACGCCCACTCCTCTTTTCTTGGAACATGAAACTAGTAAAAGTACCCGTCGAAGTTCGTTTTCTAGTTGCGGTCGCCCCACGTGCGTTGAAAGTTTAAATTGGCGTGAGAGCTCTGTTGCAATCGAAGGGCTTGATGATGGGACAGAGGAAGTTGAAACTCTGTTGGTAATCGTCAACGCTGCCACATTTCTGATATCATTATTGTGAAGATTTTCGATGGCTTCGAGAGCCTGCTTAGCTATGGCACACGCTGAGGAGATGTGCTGCACGTCTTCGTTGTTGGTAGCCATTTTGTTCGAGTCTTTTGCGCAATGCAATGTGGAGGTCGCAAAGCTGACCATGTAAAAAGTAACAAGTTGACCAAATAAAAAGTCGAGTTGACCATTTAAAAAGTAAAAAGTTTATTATATGAAAAGTCAAGTTGACCATATAAAAAGTTTAACTGACCAAATAAAACTTGAAGTAAAAAGTTAATCATTTAAAAGGTCGAGTTGGCCTTGAAAAAGGTTCGACTGATCATTTAAAAAGTAAAAAGTTGACTATACAAAAAGTCGAGTTGATCTTATAAAAAGTTCAAATGACCATATAAAAAGTAAAAAGTTAATCATAGAAAAAGTCGAGTTGACCATCTAAAGAGTAAACTGGGTCACAGAAATGTTGGCGTCCTTCTGTCTTGGGAGACAATGGAGTTGCGCCCATGGTCAGTCTGTGGTGGAGCTGCAGCGCCGGCTGTGGCTGTAGAGACCGATCCTCGAGCGGCAGATCCTGCTGCAGTTGCTGCATGCGAAGACGTTGTCGTCCGAGGGGGATGGGTTGGCCTCTGCTCTCTGGCGCCTGCGAGCTCTCTTGTCTTCCCACTGCTCCTCTCTTTTCTGCTCTGCTGTCTTGATGGCTGACATGGTGGTGGATCGCCAGCCGCTGCGGTCCGCTGCCAGTGCTTCGAAGCCTGCTGGCGCAATGCCACCCGCCTTCAGGTCCCGCTTGAGCACATCCTTGTAGCGGAGCGAAGGTCGTCCAGTGGGTCTGGACCCAGTGGCAAGCTCACCGTACAGAATGTCTTTCGGTAGCCTGCCATCTTGCATGCGGGTGACATGACCGAGCCATCGCAGGCGTCTCTTGGTTAGCAGGGCGTACATGCTCACAGTTCCTGCCCTTGCTAGGACTTCAGTGTTTGGGATGCGATCCTGCCAGGTGATGCCGAGGATTCTCCTGAGGCAACGCAGGTGGAAAGCATTGAGCCTGCGTTCTTGCCGGGTGTAGGGAGCCCAACTCTCGCTGCCGTACAGCAGTGTGCTCAGCACACACGCCTGGTACACTTGCGTCTTGGTCTTGATGGTGAGCATAGTGTTCTCCCACACTCTCTTGGTCAGTCGGGCCATAGCTGTTGAGGCCTTGCCGATCCTCGTGTTCAGCTCGGTGTCCAGGCTGAGGTTGCTGGAGATGGTGGACCCAAGATAGGTAAAGTCCTCCACCACATCAAGGGTACAGTCACCTATGGAGATGCTGGGAGCAGTGCTGACGTCTTGGCCCAGGATGTTAGTCTTTTTTATGCTGATTGTGAGGCCAAACTGTGAACAGGCATGGGCAAAGCAGTTGATGAGCTCCTGGAGGGCAGTTTCGGTGTGAGCTGTGATGGCGGCATCATCAGCGAAGAGCATCTCCCGGATGAGGACTTTGCGCACCTTTGTCTTGGCTCGGAGGCGTGCCAGGTTGAACAGGCTACCGTCGCTCCTGGTGTGCAGGTAGATGCCCTCTTCGGATTGGCTGAAGGCGTAGCGCAGCAGCAGGGAGAACAGGATGCCAAAAAGTGTCGGCGCGAGGACACACCCTTGTTTGACGCCGCTCTTGATGGGGAAGGGGTCCGAGGAGGAGCCATCGTACTGGACAGTACCTTTCATTTCCTTGTGGAAGGAGGTGATCATCCTCAGTAGCTTGGGGGGGCATCCAATCCTGTGCAGGAGTGTGAACAAACCTGACCTGCTGACCAGGTCGAACGCTTTGGTCAGGTCTATGAAAGCGATGTACAGGGGGCGTCTCTGCTCACGGCATTTCTCTTGTAGCTGCCTCAGAGAGAAGATCATGTCGATCGTAGACCTTTCGGCTCGAAATCCGCACTGTGATTCTGGGTACACACGCTCTGCCAGTGACTGCAGTCTGTTCAACACGACGCGGGCAAAGGTCTTGCCGACGATGCTGAGGAGGGATATTCCGCGATAGTTATTGCAATCGCTGCGATCACCTTTGTTTTTGTAGAGCGTGATGATGTTGGCGTCACGCATGTCCTGAGGCACACTTCCTTCCTCCCAGCATTGTAGCAGAAGTTCGTGGAGATGTTCGAGAAGACTGGTCTCTTTGCCTGCTTTTATGACCTCTGGCGGAATGCCATCGTTGCCTGGGGCTTTGCCGCTGGCTAGGGAGTCTATGGCCTTACTGAGCTCCTCGATAGTGGGTGGGTCATCAAGCTCTTCCATGACTGGCAGGGGGCTCGTGTTCTCCACTGCTGTGTCAGTCACGACGGTCTCCCTGGAGTACAGCTCCTGGTAATGTTCCGCCCATCTCGCCATTTGCTTTGCACGGTCTGTGATGATTTTGCCAGTGGATGACTTGAGAGGGGCAGTCTTGATTGCGCATGGGCCGAAGGCTTTCTTCGTTCCCTCATACATGGCTCGAATGTTGCCGCAGTCAGCCGATGTCTGGATGCCTTGACATAGGTTCTGCCAGTAGTTGTTGGCGCACTGTCTAGCAATCTTTTGGGCTTCACTTCTGGCTCGTCTGAGGGCAGTCAGAGTCTTTTCACAGGGGTCTTTCTTGTAGTTCAGTAGGGCAGTTCTCTTGGATGAGATGGCTGGCTCAAGTTCCTCGATTCCGGCTTCGAACCAGTCGGGGTTTTTGCGCTCTCTCTTTCCAAAAGTGTCCACTGCAGATTTGTATGTAGCGTCACGAATGTGGTTCCATCTATCCTCAGCGCAGCTAGTTGGACAGTCGCTGAGGGCCTCTTGGATGGCATCTGCGAAACGTCCGCGTAGTTCAGGCACAGAGGTCACGGCTGTATTGATGCGGGGACGTCCTTTGTGCTTTGAGTGGTGGATTCGCTTGGGTTGGGTTGGTCGGTGTCGCAGTCAGCGCTGTGGTAGCTACGGGTGGACAGGACACTGTTCAGCAGGGGTCTGCGGGTGATCACGAGATCCAGCTGGTGCCAGTGACGGGATCTGGGGTGCCGCCAAGACACTCTGTGGTGAGGTTTCGTGGTGAAGAACGTGTTTGTGATGCAGAGGTCATGGAAGGAGCATAGCTCGAGGAGACGCTGCCCGTTCTCGTTGAGTTTGCCTACGCCAAAGTGGCCGATGCATCGAGGCCAGGAGGTGAAGTCTGAACCAATCCGGGCGTTGAAATCGCCAAGCAGGTACAGGTGTTCTGAGGGGGGTATTTCCTTGATGGCGGTCTCAAGCTGGCTGTAGAACTCGTCCTTAGCCTCTGCTGTAGAACAAAGCGTGGGGGCATAGGTGCTCATGATGTTCACAGGGCCTGAGGTTGTTGTGAGGCGAAGGGAAAGGATGCGGGCTGTGCCTTCTGAGGGTGGTTCGACTGAGGGCAGTAGGGAGTTCCTAACCGCAAAGCCTACACCATGCACACGATGCTCCTCTGGAGCTTTCCCCTGCCAGAAGAAAGTATAGTCCTCTTCTTTCAGGCTGCCATTGGATGGAAGTCTAGTTTCCTGCAGTGCTGCTATGTCAATGTTGAGCCTCTTGAGCTCTCGGCTGATGACTGCTGTCTTCCTTGCGTCATCGATCTGCTGGAGATCGTCGGAGAGGCCAGGGCACATGGTCCTGACATTCCAAGTTGCCAGTCTCAGCGCTGGCGGCTTTGATGTCTTTCTTCTTCTTTTGTCTGGTGCGGGATTTACAGTCCGCTCTTCGGTGTTGTCCTTAGCTCCAAGCACCCATTGAAGCAGGCAGACTGTGACGGGTCAGCACCTTACTGGCTGGGGGCTGCCCAGCTTGAGGCGGGCGATAGCTGACCAATGGGACGCGAAGATCCCTCTCACCGTCGGAGACAGCCCCTGGCGTCCGAGCTCACGCCAATACGCTCTGGGCTTATAACCGGTATCTGCTGTCTCCCGTGTTGTTTCTGTCGCTGGAACAGCGGCACTGGAGTGACCTCTCCAGGGCGCAAGCCTGGGCGGAGTGTGTGGAGATCCTGGGCTGCCCAGTCGACAGGACCCCCCTCTCGGCCTCGCCGGTGTAGTCCAAAGGAATGCAGAGCAGTACGTTTGGCACTAGGTTGGCTGCAGGAGCTGCCGGAGTCAGTGAGCACTGCACGCTGGTCCGCCTTCGGGGCTCCACTCCTGATTTGAAGGGTTTACTCCCCTACACATGGCCGTTGGATCTTCAGATCTCCTCCGCCCTCTAGCCGTTGGCTGCCTGGAGCAGCTCCTCCGCCTAGTAGTGATGCAGTGTAAACATCACCCCCTCACGTGGTTTAGCCCGCCAGCTGAGGCGGTGTGCCGGGGTGTGGCGCTTGGAGCCAGCACGTGAGAGATTTAGGAGATGGATGAGGACCAGTGTGCCCGTCCACCCTACCAAGTAGGATGCAGCTGCCAGACGACAAAGGTACTACCTCTATCCAGAGCCCCCTACACCCCACAGAAATACATATATGTTATTTGCCGGCTGGGAGGTCCGTATGGTGAAAAACTGTGACCGAGGTCTTGAAAATACTGCCCGAGGCCGTAGGCCGAGGGCAGCATTTTCAAGACCGAGGTCACAGTTTTTCACCGTACGGACCGACCCTTAGCCGGTAAATAACATATTTATTGTTTTTAAACTTGACGAAATTCTTTCCGAAAGAACCCGAATAATTTATGGCTGTAAATACGGCAAGATCTTCCATAAACTGAACAATCTTTGAGTGAGTAAATGGTAGTTAAAATAGAGGTGATGCAAATTAAAGAGAGATGGCTTAGCGAAACATTTTCATTTCCATAACGATAAAGGTGATTTAAAAGGCTTCCAAACAAACTTTGAAACATTATTTTTACAAGTGTCTTTCACAATCTGACACCTGTCAATTAGAGAGCGCGCAAGAAAAAAAAAGCGTAGGAACATTTGAAAACCAACAGAACTAGTTTGGCAAGGAATGTCATGACAATGTTTTCTTCAAAATCAGTCAATGATCTAACGGAAAGTATTATTCACTCTCATCGACCATTCATTCATGTACGAAGATTTACCTCTGTTCATTCAGTAGATGGCGAGGAAAGTAATTGTGAGTAAATTAAATTTTTTTATTTTGAAGTTGTGAGAGTTTGCTCGTTTATTTGCTGTAATGGCGTGTGTAACTCTGGTCTTTCCTTCACTAAAACTAAATTCGAACGGCACACTCCAACGAGACACAAGGGAATTTAATGCGGCCTTTTCTCAAAAAATTCCTTCAATTTCTGTTGAGCAATTTACGGTACAAATGTCCAAATTGAACGGAAGTGGAAAGACTCACCGGGAGCGTATATTTGTTGTAGAACTTAAATTAAAACTTCGCTTGCTCTTTCACTATGAACAAATTGCTCGAGAAAATTCAGATATTAAATAAATGAAAGTTCCATCGTTCAGTTTAACTGTAACCAAATACCTCACGTTTCAACTTTCTGGGTACTTTTTGTGAACGATTAAAATTAATTGCAGACGGTTTTTAGGCCGCTTGTCAACCAACGTAATGACACTATTGTTTATACAAATTCATTCTGAAACCAATATTTTTCTGTCAACCAAAGTGATTTGATAGAGATAAAAAAGAGGATTCATAAGTTATTTATCGGCTTGAGGTAGTAACCGACGTGATTGCTTAAAAATACTGCCCAGCCGGAAAACGAGGTATATTTATGAAAAATGACAACGAAAGTTGGGATGTACTCGGCGACTCACGAAAGCGTTACCGTGGCCCGTGGGCAGAGATAGGAAAATACTGACCGGGTAAAGAACCAATCAGATTGCAAGTTTCGTTACCGTGCCCTCTAAAAAAACAATAAAGTGGGAATATTGACTGGTTTGGCACCCCATAAAAACTGGTTTTTATTTCAAACGACCCTTGGCGAGGGCTTTTGACAGACAGGACATTTGCTTTTCGAGGAAAGAATTTTCGACTTGACTATGACTTGACTATGCGTCTCTATATATAACAGAGTAAAAGGAACTAGCTTTATACATTACCTGTTCTGAATAATAACGGTCTAATTCACGAAAGGTTGCTCTTGACAACTTGCAAGTTTTCTTTTTAACCTTTTTTTAGGCGTATTTGCTCTGGCTTGAAAGCTGCGGAACGATTAATCCTTGCCTTTAATTTTCCAAGGCTTAAATATAGCGGGATGTACTCGCGCTGTGAACGGGTAAGACAACTGCGTGAAAACCATTTTCTAGCCCCGGATGAATAACCGTAACTGGTGACTAACCCTAACCCTTCTTCAGTCTACTTACATTGAAGAAAGGTCTCAACCCAGGTCAACCCTTTTTTGCTGGGTAACCCTTTTCGAGAGCTGAGTTGACCCGACCATAGCTAAGTTGACAATTGTAATGTAAAAAGAGGTGAAGTGCCAATCTGGGTCTAAATTTCTGCACAAATATGCGTGTTTATTTGTTTTTGGCTTTTTTTTTTAAGTCAACATAGTTTAGGGAGATAAGTAAATTACAAGGAGAGAATGTAGCAGGAAAAATCCAAGTAATCACATGCGTAGAATAGTGCGCAACGTTAAACTAGCCCTAACCCTAGCCCTAAGCAATTTCTGATTACGATGCAAACAGCATTTAATTGACAGAGACCAATGTTCCATACAAAATCAGTTAAAGTGAATCACGTGCTGTAAGCTTAGTAGTGAATCGTATAATGTCAACCGTATGCCGGTTCTAACTGAAATACAAGACGAAAAAAGATCTAGAAGCTAACGGAACTAACGTATCGAAGTTAAAATAATACAAATGAAGGAACTATCGCTAGCACTGCAGTAACGACCGTAACATGGAATTGTCAACTATAATCGGCACTTGTATTGATCGTAAGGAAGGCAGGAAAACGATTAAAAAGGCCACACGGTGTTTAATTCGGACGATACCCTTATGTTAAATAACCTTACATTGGAGATATGGACCTAATCAATCGCGATTCCGAGCGTATAAAAAAAAACTAACCAACCGATCTTGCAACGATATAGGCCATTTGTTAGGTGATAAATTGAGACTTAACAGAAAAGAATGCCAATAGAAAAAGCCTGGGAACTAAGCCTGAAAACAAGGAATCGATTACTAACTCGGTTTGCACACGCATTGAATTTGACTTAATAGAATAGATGAGTAACAGTGTAGAGAGAAACTATGGCCCAATGCCGAGTTGAAGTTGACGCAATAGAATTTACACTTGACTGACCGAACTAACCGGGTAAAACCTCGTAAATATATCTGATCAAAGAACACGCAAGCCAAGCCTGCTCTTGTGAATATATCTGATCAAAGAACACGCGAGCCAAGCCTAGCGATAATGACTATTTTCATAACGGAAATAGCAGCTGAGGGCTGGTTAACCACGGCAGACTAAATAAGTAAGTAAGGCCTTGTTTGAAAGTGACAATTACTTGATAACATCTACGGTATAGTAAGTTCCTACTTTTATTATTTCCCAGGCCAAACGGAGTATTGAACGCTGGAAAGCCAATTTATTGTGGTCTGTAAATCAGGATGAATGCCGACTTGACATCATGTGTAGCCTTGGCGCCTCGTCCATTCTTTTAGTACTTGACTGGGCGATGAAATATCTTCCACGTAAGTTCCGGGAAAGCCAGACGGATTGGTTTGGTAAAAGAGGTATATCGTGGCATAAAGCAATGGCAATAAAAGCAACAGCGGTGAAATGGAGATGATGACATTTGTTCATGATCATGTGTTTGAGAGTGCTACAGCCCGAGACAGTAGCTCGGTGTTAGCCATACTTGATGACGTCTTTGGTCAACTTAAGACTAATAGCGGAGCTTGCAGAGCGTAGCCCCATAATTATACAAAATGGAAGTAGTAACCCATCAAGCCGAAAAAATTTGGAATTATGACTGTAAGGGTGTCCGTAGAAGGTGCTACTTTTAACATGCGTGCTTAATTGTACCGCGGGCACGCCAACGCCACGGCTTTGTCCAGTAGTCTAGTGGTCAGTGCACTAGGCTCCGAGTCGGACGACCCGGGTTCCAGTCCTGGCCGTGAGACGTGCGGGGAAAAAATGCGAGCTCCTCTAGGCTTGGCTAAATCTATATATTATGCCAGAACTGCAGACCATCTATATTCGAAGCGAAAACACTGGATGTTATCATTTTGCGCAGACTCTGATTATAGCTCCTCAGATTGCCAAACGCATGGCCTTCACATTTCTCGGATTGACTTTTCTGAGCCGCAAGGAGGAAAGGGCGCTTGCGATCGCAAAGCAGCCACTATAAAGTCGCAAGTGGCGAAATATCTGAATTCTGGACACGACTTTGAGACTGCTGAACAGATGAAAGAAGCTATGGAATCTTCCAGAGGGGTGCGCGGCGTAAGTGTGAAGGTGTGCAATTGTCCCAATACTCCATCCTTAAGAGTTTCAAGTGGGAGAAAGTCAGCTATGTCAGCAACCTTATATTGAAATATTGCGGTAAAGCGGTATGACAGACTGGACATGCATACTCTGCAACTGGGCGTATGCAAGTGATGTAGAAACTTAGAAGGTCATTAGCTGGCACTTTCGCGCGCTTTAATTGCCTAAGAAAGTAGAGACGCGCTGCGACTTTCTTACATATAATTTCTACGTGCACATTCCACCTCAAATCATTCGATATCATAACACCTAATAATTTAGCGGATGGAACAACCTCAGTGTTCGTATTGTTGATAGTAACAGGCTCTAAAGTAATCTCTGACTTTGTGAATGATATTCTAAGTTCCTTGCACTTCGATTCATTCAACTGGAAACCATCAGCACGAGACTTTGTTTAACAAATTCATCAACGCACGACTGCATCATAGTTAATCGAGGGGACTGGTTGTGAAAGCCGGCACACATCAAAGGGCCGGCCTTTTGTTTCGCGTTTGAGGTTGAATTGCACCATCACGTGACATTGACCGTGCACACGGCAAGCGTTCATTCCAAGACAATATGGCGGACACGAACAATTTGTTCGGAGACGATTTTGACGCTATTCTAGGTATTTTGGAAGAAGAAGAAGAGCTGGATGAACAGTTTAGAGAAGCTGCCGATGAAGTAAGTATTATATTCTTTCTTAGCGACCCAAAATTTAGCGAAAAGCGCCGTACTTTGACATTCATCGTCTTTTAGCTCGATGGACTGTCATCGGGTATCATCGATGCTGCTTTTTTGTAGCGACTTGTGTTATAACTAAATTCTTATAACTATGTGGCGTACTTTACTGACGATGTAATTATTAAGCATTTTCTTATTTCCATTATCTATGCTTAGAACTAGACTTTGTAGTATCGTTTTATGACTGATTTCTCGACTGAAAGTTACTTTTGCTTACAACAGGTTCAACTCGAAGACATTGTGTGCGAACTGTGCCACAAGAAATGCAAAAGCAAGAGCGGACTGAAACGACACAAGACAGTTAAACACAGAGATACGAGAGAAGATGTTGAGAAGCAGAAAGAAGGAGGACAAGAAAGCTATTTAACTTTTGTAGCTTACTCAAGAATTGTAGAAAAAGCTAAACACAAGATTGCTGACAACAAAATTTATCCAAAAACAATCAGAGACGAGCTAAGATGCTACACCCACAACAACGGTCTACAAGACATACCAGCTGAATTCTGCGACATTGAAGACCTATATAAACGCTTGACAAAGTCTGGAAATGCTGAAAGATTTTATTCTTGCTTCTACTCAACCATAGCTCTGAATGCAGTTAAGCATTTTAAGGGATTATCAAGGAACGCTGCTACTCTCTACTGTCTACCAAGGTTGCTGATTGTATGTTGGCACACAGCAAGGAGAAAATTGAAAGCACTTATACTTGCGCCCCATTAACTAAACTTTCAGATGAAGAAAAAGCTGGACTACAATATATTGGCGGTTATGTGCTTCATAAACTTCATACCAAGCATGCCAGTAAATCATCGGAAAGTGAGCAGGCAATCTCCATCCTTAAGGCTGGCAAATTAGAAGACCAGAAAGCTATTGAATGCCAGAAGTTAACTTCATCCTTAAATCGTGGTGGTTTGTGGGCAATTACAAAAAGTGTTCAATCAATTTTTGAGAGAACTGAACATTATTTCAGGGATACCACTTCAAATACTACTGTGCAAAATATAGCTTTTGCTAGTATTATATCAAGATCTGGTTCCGTTCTTTTCCACACACTCAGCGAGAGTAATATCATCTACATACTTCCAGATGTTCGTATTCGCCACACTCAGGTCATTAATCATTATTAGGAATAGCCAGGGGCCGATTTTAGTTCCCTGAGGAACTCCTGCTGATACAGCACGCCATTCCGATACACAACCACAACTCAATTTCACCCTTTGCCTTCTATTCGTTAGGAAATCCAAGATCCAGCGCATGATCGATTCTGGAAAGTCATACGGGGAGAGCTTTTGGACTAGGACATGATGATCAATTAAGTCAAAGGCTTTGCGAAAGTCAAACAGTAAGGCTCTCGTAGTAGCCCCATTTCCGTCAGTCGATTCTAACCAGGAGTGCAAGGAGGCAACATACTGATAAGCGCATGCGTAGTACAAGATTTGGGTACGGCCCCAAATTATTGAGGATCAATCCTCTCCAGCACAGTAGGTTTGACGTAAGTGTCAACCGCATAAGCTTCAGAAATCTTTGACAAAATGGGGGTTAGTGAAATAGGGCGTAAGTGCTTATTTACTTCGCGGACAGGCTTTTGCTTTGGCACGGGGACTACATATGCGTGCTTCCATGACGATGGCAAGTGTTCTTCACGGTACGAGTAGTTCAAGATGTCAGATACCGGACCAGCTAAAATGTCTGCGTGTTCCTTTAACAACCATCCTGGGATGTTGTCTGGACCGTTGGCTTTGTACGGGTTCAACTTTGATAGTTTCTTGCGGACTGACTCAACCGACACAACAAGGGACGAGTGTACTCAGTGACGAATCTGGAATGTGGCGCGAGTAAATACCCAACGGTCCTGGAAGATAGTAGACCATCACTACCAACTGTGTGCACTATTCTTCCGATGGCATGGGCACTGAAATCGACACAGTCCCACGAAGTTTACTGACAATCAAAAGCAGTACCTTAATTCCAAGTTTCAAATTGGGGAGAGAACATGCAGGGAAGAAAGCTGAGCCGACTTAAGTCTCTAAAGCCATGAGGACTGCAAAACGGGGAGAAACTATTTACCTATGGGGATTTCCTCACAAGCCAGCAAATTAGCAGTTACTTCTCTCACCTTGCTGCTAAGCGAAGTGTCGAGGTAGATCAGCCTGATAGCGAGAACGAGACTCCAGGTGCAGACCTTCAGAGTGTACTTAGTGACAAGGTTTTGTCTGAAGTCAGCATTCAGCATTCACATGCAATCACATATGACTCCTACAACATATGCAGTTAGTGTTGAACTCTAAGCTTGGCTCCTTTTCTGTATCAATGTTACTGGGCATTTGTGAATCCTTTGGTCTTGACATATCGGAAATTACAGTTAGAAGGAAAAAGACATTTGTGGCCTTGCTCTCAAACCTGGTACAAGGCTGTTTCTGTAACTATAGCAAGCGCTCATAACTGTATACGGTACATTTTGTAACTACCTGGCAGCTCGATTTGATCGTATCTCGCCACCAAATTGACTCTCGTCATTTTTTGGCGAAACATCGAATTATTTGACAAATGAACCTTATATAGTGATGAACACTTCTATATGGACAACTAATGGCCGGAGTTTGAACGATTTCGCATTTTTCCATTAATTTTCGATTTCGTTTGATCCTTGGAGACATTCACTCTTAGTTTGTTGTAAGACTGAAAAGTATCTGTTCTTAAGTTCTAAGAGTGTTATGTTTGATTTTTTTACAAACTGTAGTGATTTATGCTAGTAAACGGTGGTGACAAGTAGGCACACCATTTATATTTCATAGTCGCTAGCAAGTAAACTTTGCTGTACTTTGAGTTCGTCTCACAATAGAACAATACAAATGCACAAGGAAATTATTACAGTAACTTTAATACCATCCTTTTGTCTTTTACTGAGCTAGAAGCTCAGTAGATTCTGTCTTATCGGTCATTGTTGAAACTGTCTCTGTCTTGATGCTACTTTTCGACATGGAAAGAGTATGTCGAACAAAATATTCACCAAGCAAAAAATACTCTTTTTCCAGCTTCAATAATGACAGGGGATTAAGTTAAGATGATAAAAGAAAGGACTGTGTCGACAGAAATACCGTAAGTATACTCGTTACATGAGGACACACAACTCGGGTAATATTCACGGTGAAAATTTGCATATTTTAGCGGTCGCACTAAAAAAATCATTTCTCGAAAACTAAAATATATTTTAATAAAAAAAGCTACACCACAATTATTAGGACATATAGGGCTACAAAATATGAAAGTAGGAGTGAAAGCAAAGTTTGAGTGACTTGCCGCTATTTATCTGATGCATGCTGACATTGGCTCTTAAAGTTATAATAAGCAAAGAAAAATTAACCAAGGATTAAACATTTTACAAATCTATAGGATCACTTTTCTTGTACATACTCAACCTACAAAAATTGCTTCAAATTTAATGTAAAACCACGTTGCTTTGTCTTGATCATGCAGACGAATTGTCCCTGTCATTGTCCCCTGGTTTGAAACAAAAACTTGACACACACACACACACACACACAAACAAAATACTTGGAGAAGCCTTGGCACTTACAAGGAGGGAAATTCGGTGCACAGCCGGCCTGGTTTGATCCCTCGTGCATGCCCTAGTTTTAAACACTGTGTTCACTAGGGGTGTATCTTTCCATTTGTAGAAATTCTTAACTAGGCGGTGAGTCTCTTAGAACATTATTGTGAAGCGTCATTTCACATCATTAATACTTGGAGAAGCCTTAGGACTTTATCAAAGTGCTCTGTGAGCAAACTCGTGAATTGACACATGATTTTGACACATGATGTTTAATGTTATCTGGTTTAGGGAATTTTGTGGTTGATTGTCATATCTAGAGTACGAGCAGTAGTTCAGTGTTCGCTAATGTAGCAAAGAAACAAAGTAACGTTGGGATAAGAAGGCATTACAATTGAAATGATCATGCTATTACATTTGACAAGATGGATGATGTCATGTGTTTTAAACATCTATCATTTTTGTTTCTGGTTCAAAAGAAAAGGTTGGAAGTAAATGTGGGTGAAAAGTGAAATTTACTGTCTTTCGTTGTAAATATTAGAAAATCAAGGCAATACTGTCTTAATGAAAACATTAACGATTCCCTCTTTATCAAATCAGACAAACTGGAACGAGTTTTGAGTGATATAACTGAGCCAAGCCTGCCACCGTCATTTTGGATCTCCGCCTGGGTAGATTTAAGTCACGTGCTAGGCAACGTATAATCAATAACAAGATAGAATTTCATTTCAGGCCTATTTATCAATTTTGTGGTGTGTAACTTTCGCATTTTAGTACGTTGTATGTATGTTGAATCTTCAAATTGTCTTGAAACTTAAAAGAAAATTGTTCTTTAAAAATTCACTGAAAACCGGTAGCTAAAATTGTTTGTTTAGGTGTTATCTGATTTTCGTGTTAACTTGTAATTTCGTCAGTCGTCGGCATCTTATGTTGCTTCACATAGGAAAAACACACGCGACGAAACGTTATGATCAATTTTGTCCTCAATCTCACGCCATAATAGAAAAAGCTTTTGAACATCTGTAAACTTCGAGCGCTTCGCAGTAAGTAATATTTTCAATGAATCTTCGGATTGTTTTCGAGTTCAAGGATTGTAAATTACAATTTTATGAAAAACGAAGGTTGTTCTGTTATTTCAGTGTAAATCCTTGCATGCCTGCCAGTCGCTGGCGCCGCTTGTTGAAACTAAAACGAAAAAAAAACTCTTTTAAGATTATCATTGGCTTCTTTTTCACCCCACCACTATTCTTAGCAACAAAGGTCGCCATTTCTTCTGTTTACTGCTCGCTAAAAACTATCAAATGCACTCAAAAGCCTAAAATCTGAAAACAGTTTACAGGAATCGACCAATCGAGCGAGCGAGCGAGCGAGCGGGCGAATGCCATTCCCCACATGGTATCTATAACTCGCTCTTGCGCATGCGCGCAATTCACGAGTTAAAAAGGTTGTCTTGTTGATTAATAGAAATCAGTTAATGCAGAAAAACTTTAAATTACACTGCCTCATGTAAGAGACAAATGTATATCCAAAGAGCCCCGTGAATCAGGGTGACGCAAGGACCAAAACAAGGACATGGGAAAGAGCTAGTGGTTGCTTGTTAAGATCCCGTAAGGAAATTAGTCACCTAAAGGAGTTTTAATTTTAAGAAGGTTGACGGTGTACTTAAAAACTGATGAGAGAGAAAAGGAGAAAAAAATGAAAGATCGAGGAGGAAAATGAAAGAAATAATAATGAAAGGGTAAATTGATGACTGAAAGAATGAATGCAATGAGCAAACACACACAGAGAGAAAGAGAGGGACAGAAGGGGGTGGGAGGGAAGAAAATGAGAAAATGGACTTCAAAGGAATAAAAAAAAAGTACAAAATGAGAAACTGGTATGAGGGCAAATGACTCCAGGAGGGAGTAACAGAAACTAGCAAAGAGTTCAATCACAGTAATCGAGTCGGTTTCAGTTCTAAATGACTAGATTAAAAATAACATAATAAGCCATTTACAGAAAAAAGGCTTTTAATCTCTACTTTAACATAATCCAATCCACTATTAAATGAAAATTATGACCAAGAAGGTTTGGCAAATGCCACAATACCAGGCAGTCCTGTGGTCACCCCAGAACTGATGATTTTAAAATTTAGAACTAGAGACTAAAATTTAGAACTTAAAAGAACAAGATTTAAAATAATATACATAGTATAATACTTTTTGACATTTAATCTTACCAATATTGTTCTTCCCAAAAACATACAATCCTTACACTCCTTCTTCTGCTCATAATCAAAGTTAGACACCTAGAGTACAGGTGTATTAAAAAAGAATTGAAAAACTATAGGGAGACTGCCTCCCAATTCAACTACTATGACACAATTCCAATGCATAGTAACTTCATCCATTTCAAATTGTTGTTTTTCTTCAAGAGTAGTTGCAAAATCACCTCTATCCATATCACCCTCTCTCAGAGAAACTCTATTAGCTTCTCTACAGTTGATTCACGCTTAACAGCCCACTGATCGAGAATCTTATCGGTAAGATTTTCTTACTGTTCTAATTTTTGCATTGTCTTCACTAATTCCTATGTTTTCAACAAGCAAAAAAATAATCACTAATCAATTATAATCAAGGCAAATGATCTTTTACATTAAGTTTAACTACTATGACACAATTCCAATGCACAACACCTCACTTATTTGAAACCTGTTCTTTCAACCAGTCTTTAAGACAGGCTGCGGCAACATCCTTCTTCATTTCTGTAAGAAACTCAATGAGTTTCCCTACAGTTGCTTCTTGCTTAGACGACCACTGCTTCAGCAATTCATCAGTGGGATTTTGTGACTGTCCTAAATTTTGTATTAAAGCTCTACCAAATCCCATTTTTTCTGCCAGCATGCGGAAATCGTTAAAAAGATATTCATCTTTTATATTAAGTTCAAGGCAGATTTCACTCAGAACCTTATATGGAATGTGTTCAACTTTAAAAGATTGCCCAGTGAGAGCCACTTTAGGCTGATCTCTATTTAACTCATTATCATCAGCATTCTCTTTGTGGATCTCCTCAATGCCTCCACCTATATGCAGGAAAGAAATGAAGCTTGTCAGAATAGGTTACCCTCTTTGCTGTTAATGGGGAAAAAACATTTGTAACCACCACTAATGAACACAAACTTTTTTTGATTATTCTAAACTTATTTGTCAATGTTTTCCCCAAAAGCACCTTGGCTTGTCAAGGGGGAATTCAATATCACAAACCTTAATTCAAGTTATACAGGCTCACACACCAACAAACTACTTGCAATAACTACGCATTAAACTTACATCGCAAGGGAAATATTATTTTAACAATCACACTACGGCCACTGAAAATCAATTAGCATTAATTAAAAAAAAATTTGAATTTTGCAAAAAAAAGCACAGTTGACATTGTAATTAACAGACTTAAGACTGTAAAATACAAAATTTAGTTTAATTCCATGGTTGATTGATGACCATGTCTCACCTATAACTAGCAGCAAAGGTAAGGAGGACATTATGCTGAGAGGCATACCTTGATCCAGTCAAGGCCGCACTCGCAAATAGACAATGCACAACTATTAATTTTTAAGAAATTTTTCCCAAGACTAGACAACCCAAGTCAAAGGTTGTTGTGATAAAAAGATGCATGCCTTGAAAAAGAACAACCATGTAACCTATTATAAGTATGGGGGAAGAGAATTGACAGTGTTTTTGGCTTGAAAGTAGGAAGAAACACAGAGTTTTGGAAATCTAGGTCCTGCGAATTTCAGCCAGTGGTTGTGGATGGAAAAAAAGACTATAAAATTCTTGCAGTTTACAGGGAAATTGTGTGAAGTTTTCCCAAGATCTATGATGAAAATGAGAGAGCTAACTAGATAGTTTTGGCAATAAATCAATTTGATAATGTGGAGCAAGATTCTTGGCTATTTTGTAAAATTGGCTTGACTTATAAACTTCTCTCCTGATACTAAAAAGCTCCCAAGCAAGTTCCTCATGTAAACTTGCAGAGCTGCATGGTTCCCTATTACCACCCTTGCGGCTTCATATTGAACGCTATCCAGAGTGAATCACAATCATGACAGTTCTTCCAGATGACATCCCTATATTCCATGAGTAGTTTAATCAAGCACAAACTTATTAATATGGATCTATCAACTTTGTATTTAACAAAATTCCGCATATTAAATTGCTTAGAAGCATTCTTGTATATCTCAATCAGATGATTTCTCAACAACATATTACCCTGAAAAGTTAAACCTAAGTGAGCGTGAGACTCCATATCTTTGGCCACCTTGGAGTTAAGAAAGAGAAGGTGGGTGTTGTTTATTACACTTGGTAGAAAATACAACATTGCGAGATTTAAAAGGATTCATAGTTAACAACCATTGTCAGCCCACTCAGAAAAGGTATTTAAATCAGAATTGAGGCCACCAGCTTGTGCGGCCAGCTCATCAACAATTTCAAACAGAGTTGTATCATCTGCATAAATCAAGGGAAGAGGCGAAACCATCAGAAACATCATCAATGCAAATAGGAAATAGAGGTGATCCTAACACAGACCCTTTAGGGACTCCAGAGTTGACACTTCACCAGTAAGGGGATTTCCTCTCTATCTTGCTGCTCTTGGTTGTGCATATATCTTTAATACAATTGAAGTAAATGTGGTTGTACTCCTAGAGCCTCCAATTTACAAAACAAACCAGAATGCCACACCTTATCAAATCCAGCTAGAGATTATTCTAGTTTACAAAGCATGAAGCAACTATGAGTATCGCTAGTCCCTCCTGAACAGCATGCTAGTCATTGCAATTTTAACCTCCCAAGTATTTTATCAGGCTTCCTTGATAATAAGCCGCTACCAATTTATACTCCTGGGTGGAGAAAGACACTGTCAGAGTAAAGTGTCTTGCTCAAGAACACAACACATTGACCTGGCCAGGTCTTGAACCCAGACCTCCCTATCCAGAGTCCAGTGCACAAAGCATTAGGCAACTGTGTCTCCCACCCATGATATGTTGGCCATGTTATAAATTAAACAAATAAAAAATTGTTTCTTCTTACCAAGTACATTAAATGTTGAAAAAATAAATATGATATTTAAAAATATCCAACTTAACCATTTAGGATAGTGCATATTGTTCTTGCAGCACTGACAGAGGTAAACTTTAATTAATCATTCCCTCCTTAAGACTTTCAGTAGAAAGGTATCCAAAGTTTCATGATGTAAAGTCAAGTAAAGAACAGGTGTTGTTTGACTATCAGTTCATTGGTTGAGAACCTTAAGATAATATATCACTGGATAGTGGTGAGAATGTTTTTTAAACATCTTCACCTGTTTCACTAGGACTCCATGAAGGATTCCTGCCACTTTGAGGCACACCATTTTCTGATTCCATCTCAGTTGTACTTGTCCTGGGAAGAGCAGCTTGGTCAGGTCTCTCAGTACTTCGAGTTGGACCACAATCTGTCAAAACAATTACATTAAAAAATAGTTTTTCTTTACATCTAGAAAACTCCTCTTCATATCTTTTAGATTTGCTTTAAAAATAACTCAATCTTGACCTTTTCAGGCTACTTTCTATTTGTGGGAGTTGAAAATCTAAGCAGTGAATTGATTAAGGAAGTTGAGGAAATACAGGCAACAAAAACAAGCACCAAGACATCATCATTGAGGAAGTTAAAATTTTTTCCTGGCTGCTGGGTTGATCAGTTATCCAAAGTTTAAGCTTAAGGTGACAATACTAGGCCTGGCAAAAAAACATGGGCTGAATTTACTAGGAAACATACAAAATGGGACATCCCATAAGCAAACAGCAAGGAGAAGGGGTTGAAAAAGGCTTGTCTTGCAAATGAAACTTAATATTAAATTTCAGAGTTACTTTTCTTTAATTTGAGATCAGTTATGTCCTAGATTCTAACAGATATGTGTCTTAGTATTGAAATCTCTGAAGTTGAATGTTACATTAATGGACTCAAGGTTTTTCCAAACACTACTTGTGTAATATTTGATAAATAAGCAGCAGTCTTATATCAGGTTTAAAATCACCAGCTGAAGGTGAGTGACTTCAGACCTGACTGCATTTTCATTGAAGGTCTTTCCATTCCTGGAAAAGCGTGTCTAAACAGAACTCAAAACATTGAAGGTTTTATGACTGTTGGAAATTAGCATACAAAAAATATTTCAAATTGTAACAGACTGATATATTATGGTAGGCCTGAAGTTGAAACAAGTGAGATGGATTCTTCAGCTCCAGCTAACTTTTCTTTTTCTTCATTTTTTTTCACTTCTTTTTTATTTTGCCAGTCGAGTGAGTAAAAAGAAAATTTCCCCACAGTCACAGGACCATATTGATCTTTTCAGTCTCTTAGCCCATTGGAGATGATTGTGGTTTTGTGAAATGCCTGGGATCAAAAGTCATGATTATAGTCATTATACTGACAGACTAAATACTTTTTCTTTCCCTAGGATAAAATGACACCTAAACTTGGCCACAGTTTCCCTTCAAGTATTATGCAACTTCCCTGATCTGAGACTGCATTACATTTATTTCACTCACACTCTTTACCTGAGTAGTGTGTTTGTGATGAATCAGTCTTGTCAGGTCCAGTTGTATTACCTTGATACAAACAAATCAATTTCATGAGTACATGTGACCCACTACTCACATTTTTGGTTTAATGTTCAGGAAAGTAAAAAAGGAAAATATACTTCCATAGAAGAAGACAGAACACTGAATGGTGCTATAACATCACTTTGAGACTTTAAGAGAAGGGCACACTTAACCCAAAATTTGAGATTTTTCCCCAACTACAAAGCTCATAACGTGTCACTAAACAGAACATTTTTTCTGTATATACTCTTTTTCCAATACAATGTCAATAATCCCTGGAAACTAGCTATATAAACCTCTCATCACCCTCAATGAGTAATATCAAGCCCAAAGCCATTTGGATCTTGGGTAGAGGAGTTGTAGCCTGGTTAAGTCTTAATCTTCTATGGCAATTGAGAAGGGGAATGCAATTTCAGAGGCAAGTTGCCAAGTGGAGCATACAAGTCAAAAATTAAAAAAAGCTTGCAAACATCTATATATATATATATATATATATACACACACACATATATATATATGTTTATGTGTGTATATATATAGATAAAGATATATATATATATATATGGGGGTGTGTGTGTGTGTGTGTATAAAATGTTTTCAAAAACGTTGCAATTTGAATATATATGAAATATATGTATACCCTTTCTTTTCTCTTCAAAAAGATGTCAACAGAATAAAAGGAGAGTACAACAGCTGCAGTAAAATTCCAAAAGTCTTTATTTCACCTTCACAAGATTTTTTTGCCCATTTGTATAGATGTATTATATAGATCTAGTCAATGAATTAACAGGGGTGAAAAAAAAATGTGAGAGCGATCTAACTGTGATCAAGTGGACAAGTTTTCCAGCTAAACACTTGTATGATTGCATAGATTATGAACCAATGATCTATAATCATTCCTTATTAGAAATTACAGGACGGTCAATGACATGGTGGACAACACAGTAACTTAAAAGGCTTTGTCGCATATTTAAATTAAAACAATGATAAATAGGTTGGTGATCATTGGTGCATAGGTGGATTTGGTCTTGGAAATCTTTCGCTTTATAAATTTTGGCAAAGATTTGGACAGATTCGTAGATATGTAAAATAACCTGGATCACGCATCGTCCTCCTCTAATTTTTAGATGGCGCGTAAGTATAGACCAGCTGCTGTCCTTGGTAAGCTAGTATAGTACATAAGTGTTATGGCGGCATAGTTCAGATCCGGTTTTCATCAATCCAGTTTATAGCTAACTTTCCCAAACACCAGCAAAGAGAGAGGACTTTGGTTAAAATTTTAATGCTGTAGAGCATAGGAAAAACGTGGGTATAAGTAGAAAGGATTCGGATTGTATTCGAACGATGACAGAGTTGGGAAAATTTACAATTCGGGCCGAGAAGCCGATCGAAAGGATAGACAGGTATATCCCGATTCGGTCTACATTCTCAGCTGTTAACAGAACACTGATATCATGACAGAGCTCTGAGACTTGTTTCTGTGCTATGCAAATAAAAATTAAGAGAAAAGGAGGCCCACTGGGACGGTATCCGGTCACTTCGCAAACGTGTCACTTCGCAAACTGTCAGTTCGCAAACGTGTCACTTTGCAAACTGTCAGTTTGCAAACGTCCTCGGTCGATTCGCAAACGTAATATGAATCAACGAAAATCAACAGAAGAGAATCACGTTACTTTTAATCATTATAAATGATGAATTGATTGCGTGACTCGACTGATCGACGATCTACTAAACTATACTCTAGTATTTACAAATATTTACAAATGTGATGGTTTCTGTGTGATTGACGACAACCGTGTAAGCTGGAACGCACGAAGTGAAGACAGGGTATTGAATACATATCCAAGATAGATGTAAAAGAGGAACAAGACACAAATTTACATCTATCTATGCTTCGATCGAAACCGCCTTAGGGTTGTTGAAGAATTAGACGTATTAACTGCTAAACGCTAATAATAATGTACAACTACTTAGTTTTGCACAGCAACAAGAAATGTATTTGATTTGAAGGCAATTACAGTCCCAAACTTTCTTCGATAAAAGATTGTAAAGAAACATAATATGAAGTTATATCAACCTTTTTAAAAAAAATTCGAAGACGTTTGCGAATCGACTTGGATGCGTTTGCGAAGTGACAAAGGACGTTTGCGAAGTGACAGTTTGCGAAGTGACAAGTTTGCGAAGTGACCGGTATTCACTGGGACCGTTAAGTACACCAAAACGGAAAATTCGTAGAATTGCTCTCTCGTTGCAAAGCTCCTACTACGCTTTTCAACCAAATATTTGGTAGCAAATGTATTTTTTGGGTTAAGTCACCTGTATGTTTGTCTTTCTTCCGTTTATCCTCTTTCACAGGACTGAAGTATGTGTCCCCCATCTTGGAACTTTACGGGCGACGAAAGAGGAGGGGAGTTACTACGTCACGGATGAAGACCGAAATACAAGTGGCCAGCGGGGAAACATTTAGTACTTCATATAGAGACATATCAGTTATAGTTGCGGAAAACATTAGTGTTATAAAGCCGAAATATCAACAGTATACTTCGCTAAATAAAATGTTAAGCAATTTTTCAAAAGTGTTGATGGCACATATATCTTTTACTGCTGTAATAAACAATAGAGGTATCGGAAAAGGAATCGGTGGCATCCGGAAAGGCACCAAGAAGAATTATATTTACGTTTTGTAACTTTCTGCGTGACGAAAAAAGAAAACCAAAACCGTGATCCCCAAATGAATTCTCCCACCTTGCCCCAAAAAATTTTCAAATTTTCCGCAACTTCACCTTTTCCTATTCGTAGATCAAACCCTAAGCCAAGCCTTTATGGTCATTGGCTCCCGTATAGCCACTAACTATGGCTTATAAATAGAGGTGTTTAGTGATAAATTGTAAAACTCCCCGAAGAAGTCTACGACAGTTAAACGAAACGTGTCGGAGAATAAAGAAATTTTACAACTACCGTTCGTAGAGCGCTGCTCACCAGTTTAGTTTTAAAGATTTTTTTAAAAAAATTTGGTGCGATAGCTGTGGTCAGTTTTTTCATACAGGTTGTCTGGATGTACCTTTCGCAGAGATGTGGGGGGGAAAGAGACACCAACACAACATTTCACCTGCCGTTCGCTTCGAAAATTAAGTTTTCATCCCGAGTTCATTTGTTAAATAAAATAGGAAAAAAACACTTCGAACGGAAAACAGAATTATTTTAACGCCTGGATCTTCTGAAAAAAGGTCTCCTAAACGAGTGGCTCTGATTATAAATATTTAAGCATGGTAAACACATTAGCCTTAACTTGGCTGTTTCTCGAAGCTCGGTGTTTTACTACAAGCCTTTTTCACGTGAAATGAGGCGATTGAATACATATATATATATAATAAAAACCAAAAGAACTACAGCTGATGGAAATTTAAAATTTCTTATCTAAAGGATGTGGAAACAAACTTATTAATGACTCTACAAATATAGAAATCTACAACGAAATTTTTTTAGAGTTGCTTAGCTTTTCATTTTTTCCGGAATCGAAAGTCGAGATTGCAAAATTCAAGTGAAAAGCAAACCGACTGTGGTTTACGCCTTAAACAAGTCAAGATACTTTTTTCCGTCATACAAGTTACATATGGTAAATATCATTCTTCTTGATGCCTTTCCCGGTGTCACCGATGCCTTTCCCGGTGCCTCCGTTGGTTAATATTGCAGTAAAAATATTGTTCCAGTCAAAGCGTTTGGAAAATTGCTTAACTTTTGAATTAGCGAAGTATAACCTGGTAACATTTTGGCTTTACAATACGATTGTTTTTTGCAAGTTACAAAACGTAAACAAAATTCTTCTTGGTGCCTTTCTGAATGCCACCGATGCCTTTCTCGATACCTCCATTGTTTAATATGGCAGTAAAAGATATATGTGCCATCAATACTTTTGAAAAATTGCTTCACATTTTATTTGGCGAAGTATACTGTTAACATTTCGGCTTTACAACACTATTGTTTTCTGCAACTACAACTGATATGTCTCCATATGAAGTATTAAATTTGTTTCTCCACTGACCACTCGTATTTCGGTTATTTCTTCATCCCCCGCTCGTCACCCGTGCTCCGTGATGTAGTAACTCCCAATGAGGAAAGAAGGAAAGACCGAAATACGTTTTGTAACTTGCCAAAAAACAATCGTGTTGTAAAGCCAAAATGTTACCAGGTTATACTTCGCTACAACACACAGACCTACACCAAATGCTGTCAAATACACTTGGAGTATAAATTACACATTTCTTTCCTAACCTACAGTGGACCCTCCTGGACAGAATATAGCGCTGCCACCGTTTGCTCTAATGTTTCCAGGAAAGAAAGAGAAAAGAAAGCCAATGGAGGAAAGTTTTCCTGCTTCATCTGAAAACTCAATAGTTAATGTTTTAGATCTTCAGGTTTCTTAATTTAACCATAATAAATCAGAGTCTTGCAATCATCTCATTGACAAATTTGCAAATTAACAAAAAAAGTTCAATGTAAAGGAAGACACATGTTGGAACACAATTCTTACAATGGAGCTTTAGTCAAGCCTTAAAATGGACCGGCAGATGTTTTTCTTCAGCCGCCCCATTGCTGAATTTTAATCACTTTGAATCAGTGCAAATAGGTGCAACACAAAATGGCAGGATGCCCTTGCATTGCTGAAAGAATTTTTGAATTTGTAAGACAATAATGCTAAGTAGAAGAACCCTAATGCTGCTGATCTTAAAAGAGAGAGGTTAGCTGATAATCATGTGATTTGTGTGATAAAGAATAAAGCAATAGACAGACCAGCTTACAGTTATCAATAACAGAGACGAGAATATTTACAACATGAGACAATTGAAAATTTTGCTTACTGTCTTCTAAGTCAGCTGCTCCAAAATCTTTGAGAATCTGGCCACCACTTTCTGCAAACAAAATAAAAATATAATTATGCCCAGTGGCATCATGATATTGATAGGCCAACCAAAATTATCTTGTTATATTCCCATTTACATGCAAGTTTGCCTCCCTTTGTTTTGGAGTCATTTTTTTAATAAAAAGAAATATCTCTATGTCACAGTATAGAGTGGTATGTTGCTCACACCAGTCAGATCACTGCATTAGGTTATGTATCTCATACCAATCAGACAGCCTCATTGGGCTATGTATCTCCCACCAATCAGATTAAAGCATAAGGGCATGTTTGCCCCATTGAAGCATCAGTGAATTTTCCATCACATCAATCATATCATGGAATTAGGTTCTACAAAATGTTGCAATGAAATCAACACAACATTTACCCAAACTGATGCCATTACATGATGATTACATGTAGAAGTTTCCAGTTCATTACAAATGAGTTATTTTGATCTGCAAAACTATTGGGCATGAATATTGTAAATTGTAGTTTAAATGGCCATTTTAAGATTAAATCAGGTTTTTAAAACTTTGCTTATCAATGGGTTTTAACAGCAAAGAAAGTTTGTGACTTTTAATTCCAGTTTTTATGAAGGAAAATTGTAACATGCACTTGCACCGGCTTGCTTGGTCATTATCATAAACTTACTGTCATCTCTATCATGCAATACTTTCTCAAATATTTACCATCAAAGTTTTGCTGCATTAGCCACCTTTTTGTTCCCCTTCCTGTTTAGTAACCCAAAGCTATATATCAATAACCCCAAGAAAGTGCTGCAGTGTGACACTTACCAGATTCGAAGTTGGGCTATATCTAATTTTATTGATCTGGATTGATTTTGGTTGATTAAACTTTTGTTGTTAGTCAATTGAGAGTCTGATAACTGACCAAACTAACAAACACATAGTCCTATTTAAGCAACTCCTTCTCTTATCATTACAATTTCTAAAAAAAAATGTGTATTCATCAAAAGAAAAGCTTGTAATTTCAATCTTTGAACACCTAACCATTACAATCTTTGACATGAACACACTAGAAACAACTTCCTACATTTTGGGAAATACCTACTTAGGGAATGTATGCTATTACTATGGTTATTGCAATCAAATCTGATATTGATAAATTCATTTGAGTATACTCAGTGCCAATACTGATGTAATTTTCTGATAACAGATGTCCCATTTAACAACCAACCAACTGATTACACAGGAAAATTTAGTATCATCAACTGAGTTGATGACATAAATTGGCCACTAAAGAGTTTAAAAGCTGAGGTTTTGAGTGTTAGCCCTTTGTCAGTCCCTCTGACTTAGGGCTAACACTCGAAAAGTCAGTTTCTAAGCTCTTTGCGGTGGCCAATTTACATTATCAATTCAGTTGATAATACTAAATTACCCTGTTTAATACTCTTCCACCAACACAGCACCACAGTTTCTTTAGAAACTTACCCCCATTACTTCTTTGTCACATTACAAAGGCTATCAACTGAGTTGATAACGTAAATTGGCCACTGTAAAGAGTTCAAAAGCTAATGTTTCGCGTGTAATAGCCCTTCGCCATTCGCTCTTACAGCCTACATCTACTGATCACAACACAGTGAATGGTTTGAACCCGGGGGTAACATGAAATAGTGTAGTTTGATCGTCCGGGTGAGTGTAGTCCTGAGAAGGACTGATGTCGGTAGTGTGACACGTTTCGACAACCTGAACGGAAGTCATCATCAGAGTCAAGTGAAAGGTTGTTGTCAGTCGAATGTACTTAGTCCGGTTTGTGTACACTGATTGGTCAGTTTGCCGTGATGTTATTATGATGTTATTATTGTTATTATGATGTTATTATGTTTGCTGTGATGTTCACTACCGACAAAAGTCCTTCTCAGGACTACACTCACCCGGACGATCAAACTACACTATTACATGATCACAACAACCTCACGTAAAAACGCTGTTCGATGTAGGTAGCTCACCGAACTCAAATGAAATTTGCCGAACGTTCTTTTACCTCAACCGGACTCTAAGTACCATACAATAACCTCACCTCCTCTGGCATTCGATGATTGCTTGTCCTAGTTACCACCTAAATTTTTCAAAGCTTTCATAATTATTCCCCTAGAATTACTATGGATTCCCTTCGTTCCGAACTTCCTGTGAAAAGGGTTCCAGTCGAGCAGACATCGAGTATGTAAGTTTAATAAGTAACTCTGGAGTTCTTTACGGAAACATAACAAGTTCTAACGAGAATTCTTATTGGATGAAATTCTTGCTTTTTGGCCAACAAAATCGATCGTTACTTCTTGCTCACCTCCTGCTTGTGAATTTTGGGAGTTACTACATCACGGGCGACGAGTGGGGGATGAAGAAAAGACCGAAATACGAGTGGTCAGCGGGGAAACAAATTTAATAGTTCATATAGAGACATATCAGTTATAGTTGCGGAAAACAATAGTCTTCTAAAGCCGAAATGTCAACAGTATACTTCGCTAAATAAAATGTTAAGCAATTTTTCAAAAGTGTTGATGGCACATATATCTTTTACTGCTGTAATAAAGCTGTAATAAACAATGGAGGTATCGGAAAAGGCATCAGTGGCATCTGGAAAGACACCAAGAAGAATTATATTTAGGTTTTGTAACTTGCTGCGTGACGAAAAAAGACAACCAAAACCGTGGTCCCCAAATGAATTCTCCCACCTTGCCCCAAAAAATTTTCAAATTTTCCGCAACTTCACCAGTTCCTATTCGTAGGTCCGGCCAAGCCTATATGGTCATTGGCTCCCGTATAGCCACTAACTATGCCTTATAAATACAGTTATTTAGTGTTAAACTGTAAAACTCCCCGAAGAAGTCTACGACAGTTAAACGAAACGCGTCGGAGAATAAAAAAATTTACAACTACCGTTCGCAGAGTGCTGCTAACCAGTTTAGCTTTAAAGATTTTTTTTTAAAATGTGGTGCGATAGCTGTGGTCAGTTTTTCCATGCAGGTTGTCTGGATGTACCTTTCGCAGAGACGTGGGGGGCAGGCACCAACACAACATTTCACCTGCCGTTCGCTTCGAAAGTTTTCATCCCGAGTGCATTTTTTAAATAAAAAACACTTCGAACGGAAAACAGAATTATTTTTACGCCTGGGTCTTTTGAGAAAAGGTCTCCTAAACGAGTGGCCCTGATTATAAATATTTAAGCATGGTAAATACATTAGCCTTAACTTGGCTGTTACTCGAAGCTCAGTGTTTTCCTACATGCTTTTTTTACATGAAACGAGGCGATTGAATATATTTAATAAACACTAAAAGAACTACAGCAAATGGAAATTTAAAATTTCTTATCTAAAGGCTGTGGATACAAACTTATTAATGACTCTAAAAATATAGAAATCTACAACGAAATTTTTTTAGAGTTGCTTAGCTTTTCATTTTTCCGGAATCGAAAGTCGAGATTGCAAAATTCAAGTGAAAAGCAAACCGACTGTGATTTATGCCTTAAACAAGTCAAGATACTTTTTTCCGTCATACAACAAGTTACATATGGTAAATATCATTCTTCTTGATGCCTTTCCCGGTGTCACCGATGCCTTTCCCGATGCCTCTGTTGGTTAATATTGCAGTAAAAATATTGTTCCAGTCAAAACGTTTGGAAAATTGTTTAACTTTGAATTAGCGAAGTATAACCTAGTAACATTTTGGCTTTACAATACGATTGTTTTTTGTAAGTTACAAAAAGGAAACATAATTCTTCTTGGTGCCTTTCCGAATGCCACCGATGCCTTTCCCGATACCTCCATTGTTTAATACAGCAGTAAAAGATATATGTGCCATCAACACTTTTGAAAAATTGCTTGACATTTTATTTAGCGAAGTATACTGTTGACATTTCGGCTTTACAACACTATTGTTTTCTGCAACTACAACTGATATGTCTCTATATGAAGTATTAAATTTGTTTCCCCGCTGACCACTCGTATTTCGGTCATTTCTTCCTGCCCCGCTCGCCGCCCGTGATGTAGTAACTCCCAGTAACTCCCGTGAATTTTGATTAGTTTTAGGAGAATTCGGGAACCAAATTGTAGTTATTAGAACTGACTGGAGCTGGCTGGAACCGATTTGTAAGTGATCAACGAAGTAACTAATATCCTGGCGTCCCAAGGTCAGCAAACGATTAATTCATGAAAGCGTCAAGCGTTGTGTGACTCAGTGTTAAGTCACGAGAGAATTTGGACACGTTTTAAGGAATTAAATGGAGAACGAAATATGGTCGATTTGCAACGATAAAAATTTCGAAATATGAATATTTTACACCTAAAATCAATAGAATTTGCTCACATCTTGTGTTTCCGTAGTGGTTTGCCGCGTTCTCTGCCGTTTTAAGCTTTTAAGCTAGCTTTGCCAACGCCAGTACTGTCATTCCTGTTTTAAGACGAAGTCACAGAAGTCTTAAGACAGGAATAACAGTGATGGCAAACCAAGCTTAAAACGGCAGAGAACGCCGGAAACCACAACAGACACACAAGATATGAGTAGACTGTATTGATTTTACGTGTGAAATGTTCATATTTCGAAATATTTATCGTTGTAAATCGACCATATTTCGTTCTCCATACTTGTGCTATTCCTAATAACGTGTTCAAATTCTGAACGGTTCCTCTCGTAATAACACTGAGTCACACAACGCGTGATGCTTTCATGAATTAATCGTTTGCTTTCTCGAGACGTGAGCTTGGGACACCTGTGTCAATATTTAGTCCAGTCGGATGTTGGACTAACAAATTTTAGACTCAATGATATTAGTTTACATATATACTTCATAAACTCGTGTATGTATACTCGGTATACAAAAAAGCCCCTACATGGCGTCTAATCAACCTCTCGTCCTTCAAGTTGTACTTATTTATCGACTAAATCTATCGCTTCCCAAAGAGATTCGCCACAGTTGCTGTGGATGGGGAAAAAACTTGGATATTTCAGATGTTCATTACACTTCGTGATTTGTTAGCGAAGCCATGGATACAAAAGCATGACTGCACGTGAGTTAAGGATAATGGAATAAACAACTCACGGTCCAATTCAGGTTTCACTATTTCAGGGTTATTTACAGTGCATTGCATTTTCATTGGCTGCTTACTTGGCCCAGAAGGTTTTTGTTTTTTATACTGACTCAACTTCCGCCCATTTTGATTAAAATTTACACTTTATGAAGAGAAATCAGATAAAAAGTTTTTGGATTTATTTCTGATCATTAGTTCTCTCGAACTTCTAACAACTCGAGCTTGAAATGGACCGGTCAGTATTTATTCCCTGAAGGGGAGGGAGAGGAGGATTTTGGTTGGTTCACGATAAGTTTACATCCCCTATTAGGCTGTGAAGTATTCTGATAATCTATCATCGACAGTAATGCTCCTCATGATTGATATGTTTCTATAACTTTCCTAAAAAGGTTTTAACCTTATTTCATTTTAACTCCTCTGGTACAGGAAAACTCTGAAATCAATAATCAGAGAGAAAATGGCGTGTGTGACACAACGGACGTCCAGAATTGTCCACGTTCTCTTTCATTTGATCAGCAGTCTTGTTATTTGCACCAATGCAGACGTAATAACTAATTGCTCCAACGCCGCTACTTGTATTAGAACCAATGCTGACATCTACAATTCCTTAGCATCAGATGAGAACAGTTTTAACATTTCATCCGCCTTGTATCCAGCAAATGAGCCTTCCTCAGTTCTTGTCTTCGTCAATATATCTGTTCAGATTGGACCTGATAAAACAGGCGACGATGGTTTAAGGGAATACACATGGAGTTTGAGAAGCCTTTATGCTGCTTTTCCTGCTGTTTTCCTTGAGATCTCATCCCTTTCCTCAATACTGGTGACCGCACGCACGCGAAACCTAACCATCACAATTCCATACTTTTGCTGCAATGTTTCAGAGGAAGACAGGAATAAAAGGATTAAAGATGTACTGGCTGCCGTAAGTATTTTAGCTATTTCTAGCTATTTTATAAGTGCACATTCGCGAATTCAAGATGTTAGCACAATGCACAACAAGTTTGCTCAAAAGTTCCGAAAGGTATCTGATGAGTCTTTTAGCCAAGACGAAATGCAGCGTATTACCAGCCACGAAGTATTTTTCCACAAGCATTTCGCAATATTTTATGGCAGAAATGAAATGTCCGTAATACTAAAGGCAATCATTCAACTAAATTGAAATCTCACTGTACCTTAATCGTCACGTTTACATTTTTCTTCTGTACAAAAATATTTCGGAATCTTACTCACTGATACATTTTGAGTGGTTTATGTATCAATATCCTTTTCTAAGTACTTTGAAAATGAAAAGTTTATACCCTTCTTAACCAACAGGTATCTTTTTACAACACTAGCTCTACAGGGGCTATTTCTGTAAAAAGGCCACTGTCCCATGTGTCGAGAGGTTCAATTATATTAAGTCGCTAAAACGAACATTTTACAGGTTAGGTTAGTTTTTGTGCTTTTCCAGTTGTCTGTGTTCACGAATTAAGTGTTTCAGATATCGGGACTTGGCGGTCAGAAAACTTGATCTTGTAAACCACTCCTTGTCTTTGTTAGCCTTGTTAGCTATGCCCTTTTCTTATGCCATTCATTTAGCAATGGTTACAGTGTAGCTATCAGTCCATAGGCTGCCGGCAAGAATAGTTAGGTTATGTTAGGGTTGTAAGATTCTATTCTATTCCTATCTCTGCCGACAGGTAGTGCTAACGCTTTGTTAAATTGTCTTGCTATATTTTCGTGAATGAATTATCCAGTAATTGTCATTTTTTTTACTCATTTCACCGCGTCGGATTGCATAAGCGCTCATTTTTAGGCGTCTAAGTTGAAAACACTCCAAGAAATTCCATCAAATTTCCACTAAGGAAAACCTTTGCTGACCTTCATGGGTGGAAATGCTTATTTTTCGACTTCTTGAATCAGTTTGTGCGAGTAATATAGTTGGCTAATGATATACAATATCCATGACTTCAAGCCTCAAGTCAACGTATCAGACAAGAAAAGGGCGAGCTTGGATGTACCGTCGGAGCATCAGACCAAGGAACATCCGAGCCCGCAAATAACATATACATAACATTTCTGCTTTCGGAAAATCAAGGAACAGTTTACAACGTCTAATTTACGGTCTGCTAAAGGCCGTTAAATTCGAAAATGATGACTTCCGCTCAGGTTGTCGAAACCGCTGTCAATGATCACTATCTCCAGAACTGCTTGAATAAAATACTTCTACTATCACCAAAAACGGTTCTTCACTCTCACATGCTCTACTCTTATATATAGTCACTTCTGCTGTCTAATTCTTTTTCAGCTTCAAGACCTTGCTGTAATTCCTGGCTTGCGAGATCCACGTTTGAATTTTGCAGAGTCCGTCATAGAAGGGCACACCCCAGGCATGAACACTACTGGACATTCTTACTTAAGGGTAGTTTTGTGGTTTTCTTTCCTGTCTCCCATGATTTTGGGTCCATTTTTATATTTTTGGGTGTTACAATATTTAAAAGATGATACTCAAGGTAGCTCACTCTTGGAGGATTGCGATGGAAAACGTTATAAGTGTAAATATATTTGTTGTGGTAAAGAAAAACCACTGATACGTTCAGTAACTATATTTTGTTGCGTCCTGTTGCTGATAGAGGTTATATTTGTTTCTGTAAGTGTGAGTGAATCTACCGAAATTTCAAGAAGAGGAAATTTGTCGAGTGTTTTTTATGCACTCATTGTGCTTATACCAGAGTGGTTAATTATATGCTGTTCTAACTGCCTTTGTTGTGCAGATTTGAATATCAGTTCATTTTTCAGCAGATTACTGCTTATCATGTGCACTAGCTTTGTTAGTTACCATTTTAGCTGGGTTGCAGTGGGTATCATGGTTAATCCAGCTTGGGGCGTGTCTATTTTGCTGATACTTTCCTTTTTTTTCATTACCTTATTTTTTGTAATCAATGAAACAATCCACTCAGATGACTCCTGCTTTTCCACCTTTTTCGCATATACACCTGGCTTCCTTGGTCTTTGCGTTGTTGTTGTTGTTCCTCCATTATTAGTTGGGCAGTCATTTTATGGCAGGGAAACTGCAGATGATATTCTAAAGGTAGTATTATTGCCTGTTATCGGTGCTGTGTCATGGCTGTCCTTCAAATCCCGCAGAACTTCCTCAGATACTTCACAGTTTATTAAGGCTGCAAAGGAAGTAGCAGAAGCAGCGAGGGCTCTGGCCGAAAAAATAACTGTAGCTCAGCCTGATGGGACTGTGGTTGATTCTGTAATTGCGAGAGCTGCTACAGCTACATCCTCTGCAGCTGTTGCAACTGCAGCGGCGGCTGAAGCTGTGGCTGTTGCTTTGGCTGCAACTGAGACTGAAAATTCAAACACTAAAGCCTTGCGACGTAGGGACAAATTAAGCAATGAGAGAGTTCCCCTGAACGAAATGAAGTAAAGTGCCTCTGAACGTTAGAAAACCGAGTCCCCATCTTTGAATCGATGTTGGTCTGCTTCCCCACTTCCCCATCCTCTCTCTTGCCTTTCGTGCACGCTATCTAAAAAATTTAATCCTTATCTTCTTGCCTTAGTTTTAATGGTGGTGACCTAACTGTTTATGTAAGAGTACCAAGCGTTCGCTCGTCATGCAAAAAATGCTCCTGCTTCATATTAAGGACAAATAATGATAATACAATAGTTTTAGCTAGAGATAAAATTCAGTCCTAGGGGCTTATGTGGACTACTACGTGTTTGACTTCAGTTTGCTTGCTCCTAGAGAGCTTTAGTTCTTATTTCTTGGTTTACAACATGATATCGATTTCCTGTGACGTATTTGGTACACACCTTGTTGATTTAGACTTCATAGGAATAAAAGTATGCAAGCAAAGATATTTTATTATCTTGTTCAATCGTACATTCGAACCTCCACTACGGCGTGACTCTCGTTGAATATGACAATCTCATTCATCCTTACTGAAATAATTTCTCATCTCCCTTTGACGGCCAGCTTTCTTCGACATCCAGCAGTTTCCTCTGCCCTTAAAGTGGCCGTAGTGGAAAAGTTCGACCGTATCTACTATCAGTAGCGTTTGAACACTTAAGAAGGAAAACGTTTTGTAACCATAGATCATACAGCATATCAGATTGATGCATTTTGAATTCATCTCTTAATGCAATTGTTTAAATAACTATTCCTTTTTTTCTTCTTTGTAATTAGTGCTATGATTCACCAAGACTTGGACGTTTATCATTAATAAAATAATCCGTCAACATTGCAATAGTGCCAGTTTTACTAAGTCACAAACATCAATATCTTCATAGTATGATGATGTTACCATAGTCTAAGTATGAAACTCACTTTCACTCTCATCGATTGTCTTTGTATTTTAATTTTTTATATATATTTCCTTTGTACTGCAGTTTTTACTCTCGTGTTAGGCAGGCATTTTGTGAAAGGAAAAGTATCGATTAAACTATGAATATGGCGTTTTTATCGGCATCTTACTGTAATGTTATGAATAGTTTTGTAATCTCGAAGGGATAAAACTTGTCACCCGAAACTCGGTTCCTCTGCTCCTCTAATAGGCGGTGGCTTCGAGCTCCAAAAGTAGGTTAAGGAGGAAAAGGTTTGCTCCCGAACTCCTCACTACAGAATGAGTGTTTAAATACACACACTCATAGCCCTGCTATTGATTCCAACGTAACCATGAACTTTTTAAGGCCTGAGAAGGATTTAAATCAACAGAAAAATTTCCGTACCAAGTTCGAACTAGGTGCTTTCCACCTGAACAAAAACTATGATTTACCCAGTAACAAAGAGAGCATCAACTTCTTTCATGTCCCAGCTCAGCTGGGGAATATAAACGAGGCCACATG